CCATAATACCGAGTACTTAATTCCTCAGGAACAGCACCACTTAGAAGACATCCCCCATTGGGCCATTTTAGGCTGATCTGAAGCTAGGTACACGCCGCCTACTCATCCTTAATCCATTGCATGATACTGGTACTCAATTTATTTTACGACCTTTAGAGAGCACCTACATCAGGAAGTCAAATGACTGTTGTGCATCATAATGTATATCACATCCAGATGTTCACTATTATTTCGGTAATATTCATTAACGATGCGTAACTATCAATTCATTATTTAATAATTTACATTTTAACATTGTTAAATTTTATATATGTTGCAATGTTTATTATATATACATTGAATATAATTTTTCACGCTTGTACATTGGTTTTACATAATTTTTAATGTCATTTCCTAGAAATTAAAACATAAAAGTATTGACCAAATATTCATTGTTTTTTTCAAATCGTGGTATTATATGAATAGGTTCTACAACTGAATCTAATGGTATAAATTCATATTGAGAAGTAAGTTTTATCCATGGACAATCATACAAGTTCAGCCTATTTTTGTATTTATAATCATACCACCTTACTAGTGCTAAATAAAATGCTTCATTAAATGAAGAAATCTTGACAGAACATAAAATTAATACCTATAAAACTTAATTAGGTTTTGTAATTATAATAAATTTATAATTTTTGTAAAAACTTACTTTTCCAAAACACAATCCATCATATGTAGTGTAATCTTCGATTTCATTACTATCCATATTAATCAAAACATTATCAAAAATAGGCTGACCATACCAATTAGAATTTGCACGAACCGTATCACCACTAGATATCACCGCAGATCCATACCATTTAACAGATAAGATTAAATGGGTTGTAATAAATTCCGCCAAATTGATTAGATCAAAGAATTTATCTAAAGTTGGTAAAAATTGATTAAATGCCTCCAATGCTTCTGGTGCTAAAGTAGTTGTATTTCGATATGATGAAACAAATTTATCAAATGATGATAATTCAAAAGTGAAAATTTTTCCATTCATCACAGATGTATTTTGTTTAACATTAGATCCAACTGGCTTTGAAAATTGAAACAAGTAATTGATTATATTCTGTCTTCGTACCTAAAATTATTAATCATCAGTATCATAATATTATAGTAAATTAATTATTAATTTAGGTGATAACTTACCGTATTTAGCATTTGTAATGTTGCATCACGTCGATTACTTATTCTGTATGGATTTTTGACCCATTTTTTATGAAGTGATTCATACGTTTCAGTCACAAAACCATTAATAGCGCCATGCTCTTTAATTGCATCAATGACGTGATACATCCAATTATGTAGTTTCGGTAACTGCATTTGTGATGGTGAATATGGTGATAATAATTTTATGAACCCTTTTGCCCAATTAATTATAAGTGTCTATAGAATATAAATAGGTTAATATATTAATACCATCAAATATATATAAGTTTTATTATTATATACTGTACCTTAAAAATTTCTAGGTCTGATTCTGTAAATTCATCTTTACGTGAAAAGATATACATTTGGTTCCAATTGACATATAAATTAACCAACTGTTTGTCCATATTATCAGCTTGATGTGTTGTATAATTAGACTTGTGAAGTTTAATAATAATACCATCAACAACAAATACAAGTTGTCGCATCATTGATCGAAATTCTTCGGCAGTAAATCTTTTAATATTACCAAGCCAATATTTAAATAATTTAAGTCCTGAAAAACGTGGGATTTTAGCTAATCTATCATCAAATTCTATTACGCCATCTGAGCCACACCATTCTGCCAATAAATCTCGTGTATATTCAACTTGATATTTATATAAGCCCAGATCCAGGTGATGCATTCTATCAGGCATACAAGCCTGATATATATTAAGTTGCCTAGATAATAAATATATATTAAAGATAATTATATAATAATATCCCACAATTAAATTTGAATGATAATACTTACGGTAATGTCCAAAAAATATTTTTCATGTTATGGAGTGAATATTTTGTAGCATCACCATTATTTAATACATTTTGCATCATTATTGGAGTGCGTAATTGAATTGTTGAGTGATCAATTAATGGGTTATTAAACTCGTCTCTTAATGTTATACATGTATAACATGGCATATTGCAGTTAGGGGAGCTATAAGTTAATGTTAAAGAGTGATGCTCTGGCATATCTCCGAGTAATTCAGATAAAAATGGATAACACCATATGATACCATTGTCAGTACGTAAATCAAAACTTCCTGATCTGATCGGTTCAATGAGAACTTCTAGTGAACGCTGAAAAAGATAATGCTTCACCATAGAACAGTCCTTCCATTTCTTAAATTCATTTGTTTCTTTTATCCTAGGTAAATATGCTAATAAAGCTTTTGCATCTGGTTTACTTCGACGCCAATTAGGAATGTTGCCTAAGGTCAGATATATGGGATGCTCTGATGTCTTACCGAGAACATCACATGTTGTAGCGTCCGAATAGAGGATGATAGAAAGTACTTTGGAATTTTCGCTAATTGATGACTGAGCCCGACCCCACCATTCGCTATTATATTGTTCTCCGTAACATCTTTCATTTTCACCATTAATATTTGTCAGGTACTTCGGCATAAAATCAAACACACAATGTTTAAATATATCTTCATTACTTAACAACTCTTTGATGGTATCATAAATTGTTCGATGATAAAGTATATATTGTTTTTGGTTATATTCCATGATAACCATTTTTTTATATAAAATATGAGGAATTTGCATAGAATCTAATAATTTTCGTGCAGCTTTGGCATTTAAAGGTAGAATAGCCGTTGAATCCATATGAAAATTATTGAATAAACTAATAATATCATTCGCAACAGAATCAGAAAGGTTATGTTTGGTAAGCAAATGTACAAAAGCTTCATATGCTGAATTCGGAAATGATGGTATTGCATTATTTGTTTCTTGAACTTTTTGAGCTGTTCTAACATCTAGAACCGTTAAAATAGACGAACTTACAACCGTTGGAAATAATAATGTATAATTTTGGTAATATTGGTCTTCAGTTTCAACAAAAATATTATCTATTTCATCATTACTTTCAATGTCACTTTGAATTTCTTTCTCACTTATATTTTCGTCAAAAATTAGCAGCTCATCATCCTGTAATACAGAAACGTGTTATAAGATTTGTGCAACTATATAACGATTATAACGATAAATTTCTTAAAAAAATATATATATACTTTACCTTCCAAGCATCATGAACATTTATGTCTGAAATTTGTTCTTCACACGGAGTAATAATGTCGTTAATTAAGATAGGTAAGAGAGCGGGTCCTTGTTTGTTATTTCTGGCGACAACTGGCTCACTTATATTAGTACTTTCTTCACGTGTTAAATTATTTTCGTCTAGGTACATCTGGTCTCGATGTGACTGAAGGTGATTTCGATAAGCTCCACGTCAACTAAATGATAGTGAACAGTATTTACATTGGAATATATTTTTTTTATATCCTTTCTTAGTTGTTGACATGATTAATTTTACGGTATATTTTGTCTTTATCTCAAGAATTTTTACGTTATTTTAACTTGTTGAATTATTGTCTACGTATATATAAATATATATATGTATATCAATTGTGTGATTAGTAATAGACTTTTTGATCAATTAATTGATTTATCATTATATTTTAAATATTAAATAGTCGATATGATACTCCTTTTTTTTTTTATTTTTTTTTAACAATTTTTAACAAAAACCATGTCATCTCGTAAAAACAAAAAGATTCCACCATCTAAAAAAAATTCTCCAAACAATGCACCATCTAAAAAAAATTCTCCAAACAATGCACCGTCTAAAAATATTCTTCCAAACAATACACCATCTAATAATATTTCTCCAAACAATGCACCATCTAATAATATTGATACTTTAACAGCTTTCGCACCTAATAGAAATCTTCAATCTGCTTCTCGAAAGGTAAATAATAATGTTGTTATTTCATAAATAAGAAAAAACAATTATTCATTTCGCTAATAATTAACATTTATTATAGGTGCAAAAACAACCAGTTTTACCATCAAATAATAATAAAGATGATAATAACAATGGTTCAGTTTTGAATAACACTAGCAATATAAATCGTAAAGCGTCAAGATCCGAATCTAGCGGACTCAGCGGTAGAACATCATCTGAATCCATTAATAGGACGTTATCAACTTCAACTTCTGGCTTTAAGGTGAATGTTAATTTAACTATAATTATACTAATTTATAATTTACCGACATTTCATCGTATATTTTTATTTAGAATGTTTTTGTTTTAATTAATGATGAAGAACAAGAGCATCATTCCAAAAGAAAGAGCAGTGTGGATATTAATAATATAACAAAATGTAAGTATTAACAAAACAATTTTTCATAATTTTTAATATTATTTTCGGTAACTATAGTATTATTAATTTTATACAGTGCCCCGGCTAAATGAAAAAGATGTTAATTTGTTATGTAAGGCATTGCAGTATTCTAAGAGTGAGTACAAAGAAGCAATAGCGGCCAAGGAAGCCGCAATTCGCACGGAACTTGCTATTAATGAATT